TGCCTCTACAAGAAAAATGTATCCATAGATTAATGTACAAGTCACACTTAATCACACTTTGAGAAACATTCTTTTCCATTGCTAGTTTTTGTGCAATTCTGTAAAATTAGTGCACAATGTTGTTCTACAAAAAATGCATTATAATTACAAAGATGTTTTAGAACACAACATCCCTTCTGATAGTAAATGTTTGACCTAATTACAAATTTATACCAAAAACTGTACCTGTCATCTGAAGACTTAAGTGAACCAATGAAGTTATCTAAAGTGTTTTGTGTTTTTTGCTCTGTTTTTATTAACTGGATATGAGAAGAAAGGACATACAGTAAACTATTATTCTTAAGTAAAAACATGCCAATCAGACATCACAAAAAAGTTGCGCTTTTTTGTAATCAAGATTGTAGCACCAGTAGAAGTGGTGGGGACTTCATAGATCATCTCCAAATTGTTGGAGAAACAGACATACCATGTTTCAAGAGGCTTGTTTAAGGTCATACAGCCAGTTGTTGTTGAACTGCATAAGCAGGTATGTTATTAAGAGGTGACTATAAGGTGTATTAATGACACATTAATATTTGACACAGTCCCAAGCAGGAAACATTTCTTCATACTTAACATAAATTACTTCCCCTTATTAAAAGAGATAGTAAACAGCTGATGCCTGTAATTCTTTGGAGGGAAATAGTTGGAGACAAGATCTCACTATGTAGAGCACTTGTGCAACATGACCTTCAACTTGCTTTTGTAGCCCAATGTGGTATCTCAAACTCATGGTGATCCTCCTGCCTCAGCCTTCTGTGTGCTGAGATGACAGGTGTGCCACTTAGGACTACCTGTGGTACCTATAATTGTAATTCTCTTTAAATCTTCATTACTTGACATTTAATTTATCATTTTCTGTATTTCTTTTCAGAAATATTTTATACACCCAAGGTTACATTTCCCGTTTTTTTAAACCACAGGAGCACATTTCTAAAGAATGTTCGGTATAGTATAATTTCTAAGGGCCAATTATGTAATTGCAGATCCCTTTATTGAAAATTTGTTCAAAATCTTTAAGATAACAATGAGGACACTAAACCAAACACAAGACCTACATGGCCTCAAAGGTTGTGTTTCCTCACTGAATGTGATGCTTGCACATGTTTTACCCGAGAATTTTTCCTCAAGGTAACATACCTAATTGTTGGCTGAGATACATTTGTATGTCACAATATTTTATTTTAATACATGTATGCAGTCTGTACTGTTCACATTAATCTTAGGGAGCAGGCACATACATCTTGATTCTTTTTATTCTTCTTCCCCTCCCTACCTATCTCTTTCCTTCCATCTCTAGATCTCCTTTCCCAATTTTCATTATGATTATTAGTTTTTAATTCACATTTGTGACATACGATGATTACATTCATTGTAGGTAGTTGATACATGTACATGATGTATCTTTAATCTTTTTTACATACTGTTGCCCTCCTCATCTCTGTCTCTTAATCCTCTTCCCAGATATTTTCTATAAATCCAAGAGCATTTTGTGTTCTTTTCCAGTGAACTTGTGTCAGGTAATTTCCATGTAACTGTTGCAGAAATTACTTCAAGAATGCTGTGTTGCAAAACTTGGAAATTAGAAATAAGTAGTCCATGTTCTACCTGGAGTTGTAGTATCTGGCCAGGAACCAAGTTGTTCAGTTGAGTTCAAAGATTATAGTATTTAGGTATTCAGTGCCCATCATATAATTGGATTTTGTCTTGGGCTTTTAGAGGAAGATTTAGTGATTTTAAAAATGTTTAAGTATTAAGATATATTGTCCTAAAGTCTTTGAATGGAGGCAATTTGTGTGAGAGGTAGTCTGTTTCACATTAATGGAGATCACTTTGGTGAATACAGATGTATTTTGCTGTGTATGCTGAATTTTGTCTGTAAATTTTGTGTGTAAATTGATAAAGTTTTTGTTAATCCTGAGATTTTTCTATTTGAGTAGTGTCCATTGTTAATTTGAATAGTGCTAACAGAGAAAATATTTTTTAAAAGTAAGCAGTATTTTAAGACTAGTCCACTTAAAAACTAAAAAAAAACGTCAGTGATCCGGTACACTTAAGCATGATTTCTTCCAGTTTATAAAAATAAAATACCTAAAAATTTAAGTATAAAAAGCTATAATTCAATTTCATAACATGATAAAAGTATATGACAATTTTAAAAATACAAATACAGTATTGATTTAAACTTTTACAAATTTTGTTCATGTTATCTATTGCTTTAGAAACTTATGACATGAGTAGTATACACATTTTTAAGTTGTACATGTTTGTATTAGATTTTTTTTTTTAATCCAGAGCAGTTTATGTAGAGCTCTTTTTTTTTTTTTTTTTTTTTTCAAGAGAAAACATTTTTGAACAGTAATGCTATTTGGCTGGGCTGTTAAATTTTTTAAATGTATGTACTTACTGAAATAAGTTTTACATGGTTTTGGGGGTAATACATTGGCATTATATGTTTCTTTGTGGAACTAATACAAATCTTATCAATATTAAAAAGAATTCAGTTTTTTATTGCTTTTTTGCTGTTTGTTCTCTTTTAAGAAATAGCCAACAGTGCCACCATCAGAACAAACAGACTTTTCTCATCTGTCTCATTGTGTTTTCTCATCGTAAGTTTGTTTTTTCACAAAAACAAAACAAAACACCGTGTATAGCCTAAGAGATGTTTGAAAAAGTACATGTTTAAACAGACACGCAGAACATTTAGGAGATACCAGTGACATAATCAACTTGCCCTTATTTTGGCAAAATCAAATTCGTAATACTAGTCTTCATTCAGCCATTACTAAATTGAATGCTTAAACCTTGCCAGGTCATTCTGTCCAGGCAGCATTATGTTGATACCAGTTTACAGTCATCATTTTTAATTTGAGGGTCTCAAGGAAGAATATGAAAATAGGTCATCTTGGTCTGATATCTTCTCTCATATGCAGTTGGAGTAATTGTTTTCATTATGCCTTGTCTTAAATCTGATTTATTTTATAATAAACTGCCAAGTTAATTATAACTGAAGATTTTATAATCTATTAAAGCATATAATTTTTCTTTTTCATGGTTTGATACTTACATGATAATAGTATATTTATTTTTGAATGAAAAGAAACCTGGCCCCCCCATCTTCCTGTTGACATCAAACAATCCTCTGATATGCTAATGTAGCATTGGGGAGTGCATATGTACCAGCTTTATTTGGATTCATTCCAAGTGTGAGAGAAAATTTTATGTGTAAAGAACTGATTTTTAGCATTGCCCCCTCGGAGTAAAAACTGATGTTGACACAGTTCTTAATTAAAAAGGCTTCAGATTGAAACATGATATGGGAGGTTTTCAAAATGTTAGTAAGACCCATCTAATTGTTATTTGGTTTTCTGGTTATAACATTAATGCTGTAATAGCTATTGAAATAGCTAATAAATTCATTTCCATAAATCTATTGCAGTAAAGATTAACCCACAATTATTAGCTTTTTCTTAAAAATTTTTGCTTTTGGTCTGTTGAGTATATAGACAGTGGATGTATTTTGCTAACTATAAAGTGGAATACTAGCAAATTTCCTTATACTGTGTTCCTTTTTGTCCTGCCCTCAGCTGGTCACAGGTATAAAAATTGGTGATAGTTTTGAATTTTTTCAAGTAGTTTCTCCATATTTAATAAGAAAAATAAAATTAGTTGGACTTTTCAAAATGTCAAATTTCCAGGTAAATGCATTAAGGAACATATTTATAATTTGATATCTATGAAGAATACATAGGCAAACCTGCACATTGCTTTTAGTGAATGAAACAAAAGTCCATGGAAGTTTTATCCCATTTACTTTTTGTAGGGCAGTTGAGACAATATCTTGGTATATACATTTCAGGCTGGCCTCAAACTCAGTGATCTTCCTGCCTCGGCCTCCCAAGTGCTGAGGTTACAGCGTGTGCTATCACGTCAGGTTTCTATACACTTTATATATACTTTTAAAAAGTTAAAATTATCAGAAGATTTTTATGAAAACCCATTTAAATGCAGTGTTTTTGTGTTGGTTATTTGTAAATACTAAATAGGAAACCAGTTACATTTTTTAGTTTTAAAATGATTTTTATGTGATGAGTCTGATGAAGGTAAGAATTTTCTCTTGAGTATATTAGTATAGTTTTCTAGCAACTTTATTTTTTATTTATTTATTTATTTTTGTCTTTTTGAGGCAGGGTCTTACTATGCAGTTCAGGTCAGGCTGGCCTCGAGCTCACCTTGTAGCCTGGATTGGTCTTGAACTTGCAACAGTCCTCCGGCCCAGCCTCTCGAGTGCTGGGATTACAGGCATAAGCCACCACACCTGGCTTAGCAACTTTAATGTTGAAAAATGGACTTTGCAGTTAGTACCTTCCTGCTTAGCACCACAGCCTTTAGTTTAGTAGCCTGTTGGTATATACAGCCTTTTGCCCCATTTTCCTATAAGATTCTGCTCTGCTTCCATGGAGTATTATTTCATTTATTCAAAGCAATATGCAGCTTTGCCTTACATTGCACAAATTTTAGATAAATCCCTTTTATTTAATTTTTAATAGATTTTGGTATTTCAAGTCACCAAGGTGGCTCATTGTTTAAAAGGAATTCTATTGTTGAAACCTGTCACAAGAATTGTCTTTTGATGAATATGATTACCTTCAGATGCCTAGCCTTTTTAATTCTGGCTTTTCTTAAAATGAAATGTGATAACCTCTTTTTAAAACAGTTTATCTTACCAGTATTAATTTTTTGAAGTAGTTGTACATCAGGCAGATGTAGCTTTATGTGGTCTGTGCTAACCATAGGTATAATGTGAAGTTAAGCTATTATGTCAGATAAAATTTTAGTATAGAACATCATTTTCTTTGTTTATAAGAGGCATATTAAAGTAGATGTATTTCTGACTTACTTTTTTTGTCAGAATCTGTAAAGCTTTTAGTTCTCATAATTATTTTTAATTTTTTAAAAAGCATTTTAAAAAACAAAAGAGGCTAATTCCTGAAAGGACTGTTTGGAAGTACTTTGTTCAGCTTTGCAGTGCTTTGGAACACATGCATTCTCGAAGAGTCATGCATAGAGGTGAGTAAAACTTCACTTAGTTTTATATAAGAACTAAAATTATTGTTTCGCATGACTTGTAGCAAGTCAGGTTATGTTGACAAAAAGAATAAAATGTGGGAAGGCAGTTGAATATATAAGGAAAAGGAATTTTGTTGTTTTCTTCCCTCACGTGAATAATGTTTAGTAACTACTTAGATTTTTAATTTTCAGCATTAGTTTTAAATATGCTTTTCATAATCAAATGATTGGCCATATAAGGCAACATTAAATGAGTAATTAATCCACTGATTACGGGATGTAAAATTTTCAAAGCATTTACTTAGATAAGCTTTCTAAAGCTGTCTAAAATAAGATCATAATTATTATTAATCCTGATTTTTGTAAATCATGATTTATGTATACTAATAAGTTAACTTTTAGTAAAATACTTAAAATTGTTAAAGAGAAGTTTATTTTGGGCTTTGAATTTTACACAAAGTTTTAAAAGGGAAAACAAAATGTACTTTAAATGGAAACTGATGATATTCATCCAGATATGTTGATTCTATCAGAGAGAATCACGAACTTTGAAATACTATCAAAATCACTCAAAATGAAGTGCTTTAAAATTCAAACTTCCATATTTAAGATACTATCATAATAAGTAGTTTCTTAGCTTTCACAGTTCCTGAAGTTACATCACTTTCACCTGATCCCTTCATTTATTCACAGATATAAAACCAGCTAATGTGTTCATTACAGCCACTGGGGTGGTAAAACTTGGAGATCTTGGACTTGGTCGGTTTTTCAGCTCCAAAACTACAGCTGCACATTCTTTAGGTAAGTAATACAATATAATTTCCTTCACTTCATTGTTGCTTTTTTGGTCATGGTTAAAAAAGAAGTGAGATGTAATTGTTATATACTAGCTCCTGTTTTTAAAACTACTGCTCAGGTCCTGAGCAGATATATAAGTCTGTATTAGTATAATGTTTTCTTTCATGTGACACTTGAATCCTTCTGTTAACTTGATGTCAGGCAGGCACTAAATTAAAAGAAATACTGATTTTTATTATCACTGTGGATTCTTTTTATTCCACATATAATATAGTGGCAAGATATTATAAATAAACTATATTTTGAAATGTCTTTAGCTGACCACTTAATGATATTATGTACAGTAATTTGTAAATGTTCATACAGTAAAATAACATATGGATGTGATTACTGCAGAAGAGAAAAACCTAAAGATGATCTGTGGCAAACAAGAAAAATATTGCCTTAGATTATAAAATAGAAGAAGAAATACCTATTGTTTATTCACAAGTTAACAATATAGCAGTGCCTTTTGTTCCAAAAATAGAATCAGATTTAACTGTAACAACATATTAATGATGGAAAACTGTCCAATTCAGAAATCATAGAAATTCTTAGGAAGAAGTAATTTTTTAATTGAGTAAAACAAAGGGAATGATCAAGCATCTCTTAAAATTCTTCAAATCAGAACATCTCTTAAAATTCATTAGACATCATCTATTCTTATAAATCCAACACACATAAGGTGATAACCAGAATAATGTAAGAATTAGGTAAAAATAATTTGGTTTTTTTGTGCCTATTTTTGGTATCATAAATTCGTTGAAAATCATTGCATTTTTAAAAACTTTGTCCTAAGAACTTTTAAATGGCCTGCTGAGAACAAATGCACGTTATATTAAAAGAGAGAGAGAATGTGAGAGAGAGGGAGGGAGGAAAGGGGAAGAGAGAGCAGAGATAGAGAGGAGAGAAATAAACATCCTAAATTACTTGAATAGATTTTTTTTTTTAAAGTTTTTCTGGCTTTCTTACTAAGGTTCTGTGTGGCTATGAACCTGTCAGTTAGTTGTTCTGTATCTAAAACAGTGCTTGGCACATAGACAGGCATCTAGTATATGATCACATAATGACCCTGAATGTAAAGTTTCGTGGAATATTTGAATGTCAAATACTGTGTAAAGTAAAAGTAATGTCAAATATTGTGTAAAGGTAAAAAAAAAAAAAATACTTAACTCTTTTCACAGAATTTCAATTTGTCAATTTGTTTGAGAAAATAAAATTTCACACCGATGTTAACTACTATTTTATTTTCCCTTCCACTTTACATTTTTTATGGAGTTTTACCAGTTTGTCTGAATTGAACAATTTGATACAAATTCTACAAACAACAAATAAATTGAGTAGCGCTTCAGTAAAATTGTATTGTGATATTACATTGCTTCCAGTATAAAATAGTGGAGAATTTCTATGAAAAAAACCTTGACCTATTCCAACCCAGATCCATTTATTACTAGTAAGTAAGGATAATATTTTTACTTTGTTAGTCTCCTGATCAGAATGTGGTAACAGGATTCTATCATTTTTACTTACTTAGAAATAACACAGTTACAGTTACAATATATGCACACACTTGCACATACCTGATGTACAAATGTATTCTTTAAATGCTGTTTTTCGGACTGTCACTCTAAACATGCTGAAGTCATCCAATCCTAAGGATAACAGTATATTAGTGGGAAATCTAGTTCTTAACAGTTCTGAAAATGAACTTTTTTACTATGCCTGATACTGCTTGTCAGGAAAATTCTAAGCGAGTTTAAAAAACAAACATCTTCAAGTTTAGGTGATAGGCTCGTCCAAATTATGTGACCTAGGAATTAAGTTGAGTCAGTTTGAAATGACTTAATACCAAGTTTTATCAAAATCAGCTCACTGAGAAGAATGCAGTTATGTGTGTAATACGTGTTGATATTGTACTTGCTGTGTATTCTAAGACATACCTAAAGTAGAGCCACCGAGGAAGTAGAAGTGACACTGTTGTTTTGGTGGATGAATCATCAACAAAATAATTACTTTTACTAGTTTTTAAAATTTTATTTATTCCTGCTTATGTTCTGTACAGTGGGTAGGTTTTGGTAGTTTGAAATTGAAGTTTAAGCAAAGTCCAAAATGAAATTTGAACTCTAGCTTACTGCAGTTCTTTGGATACAATAAAATAAAAATCCTGTCTAAGGGTCAAAAAAACTTATCTGCATATTGATAGAAATCCTAACAGACTATTTTTATTGTACTTTTCACTTTTAGGGAATTATTATTCTCCTATGTTGTCATACTTTTAAGAGCAGATTTAAGTTTGCTTCTAAGAGCTGGTACGGCAAAGTAATTGAAAAAATCGCCACCTATACAAATTTATTTTGCTCACAGAAAACGTGAGAACCATTTATATTGTATGTTGGTTCATTTTCTGGTTTTTATGGAGGATAAAATCTGTAGGACATATCTGTAAAACGATGTCTAAATTTTAATGAAACTAAATGTGAATATAGTTCTTTAAAAATTGTGAGTTTTACTTTAAACTTAATTATGGAGACAAATGCATCTATTTTGAGGAATTTAAAAATGCAAAGATACAGTGTTTTAGAAACATTTTTTATAGTTACACATCTTTGTTTACAAAATATACTTTCCAAAATTCAAAAATACTATTTTAACTTATTTTAAAATTAAGATATTGGCAAGTCTTTCCATTTTTTAATTCTGTATTTTGTATTTCATTTGAATCAGTTGATTTTAGAATAGCAAATTAACATTTAATAACATCTATAGTTCTACCCTGTCTTCAACAGCAGAGAACGTTTTATAGATGGTCACATTTCCAATCAGTTTTTAGAACCAATCCTATAAAGTATGGCAACATAGAATAGTAATTCTTTGAATACAAAGATCAAAGATTGCAAATACTGAATTTCGTGTTGCTGATATTCAATGTTCAGATTCTCAAAACTGAAAAATCCACAGGACCTTCACTTTTTTTTTTTAATATCCTGTCTACTGCCACCACATACATTGTCTTATACCTTCTCTACTTGCCATTCTTAATCTATAATTACTTTATAATAATAGACTAGGAAATAACCCTTTTTCCTTCTAATGTTTTTGTTTAATATTATTTATTATTGCCCTAGAGTTATCTTCCTCCAAAACATCAGATTGTTACTTTTTCCCAATCTTTGATGATTCTCTGTTGCCCAAGACATAGGTACAATCCTTTATAATTTTAAGGGTGTTGTACAGTTTGGTGTTCTCTTAACTCTCCAGCCTTATTATTGACTTCACTTCTTGCATCGTACACTTTTCCTTTTGCTTTATTTTGAACATGAGAAATAGAGCAGAGAGCACTTAGAACTTGTGTGTTCATTACTCCCAGGACCTTGATCAGACCATTTATTAATCTTCTAAAACTTAGTTTCTGGATTTATAAAAATAAAAGTATGGATAATAACTACCCTATGTTTAACCCTTATCCCCAATTAATTTCTAATAAAATATTAAGAATATAAAGTGTTTTCTGAACACTTTGATACACTATATATTTAATTTGCTTCTGTTAAGATGATGGTGAAGATACAGAAAAAGCGGGAGGAGTAATTGTTTAATTTTGTCAAAATTGATTCAAATAATACTTTCAGTCACTATGTTATGCAGATGCTATTCTAGGAAAGGTAGCCTCAGCAAGACAATTGTTTTTAGAGAGCTCATCTTTTGGTAGGAGAAAATAGATGATAATAAAGCAAGTAAAGAAGTAAGCTGATTTATTTTTTTTTTAGTGGCATGCAAGAGAAAGGTTAGTAGGAAAACTATTTTAGAAAGAGGCAGTAATCTCTGTGGAGGTGGTGTCAGAGTTAAGATTCAAGGAATGCAAAAGAGGTAGTTAGTTATAAATGAACTCAAGAAATAACCTTTTAGGCTGACTGAAGGACATTTCCTACAATGGGCAGATGCAGGATAGCATTTGTCTATGGAAGGTCTGCTGGAGCAGATGAAAAAGGGAACAAGAGCGAGTTTAGGGAGAGCACCATTGGATTCCTAGTGCAGTTTTTTAGGCAGGCTTTTTTGCAAGGTTGTGATTAAAAGAACCACATGAACTGAATTGGAAGACAATATTCATGGTGTTCCTTTTTCAGCATCAGGTTAGGTAGGTGTGGCTGGGATTGTGTACTGCTGACAGGTTCTTCTGTTTCCCCAAAGTTTTCTTCTTTCCCTATTAGAGTGTCTTAGTGTGTACAACCCAAAATTGAGCAGAATATACTACATTGGAGCTTACCAGCACACACAGCAGATAGGTTTACTGCTGCAATCTATGATACAGACACTTGTGTTTTTTTGTCTTGCCCCTCTCCTTTTGTTTCATATATGGATTTACATTCAGGTTTTCATTGACTTGGATGGAGCTGTGGTTAAAAAGGTTAATTACAGGATATACACATCTCTGTGAATGTTGCTTTTTTTCATATTGTTTGTCAACCTTACAGATGTTACAGAGATGTAACAAATGTTAGAAAATTTGTTTTTTGATCATAAAAATTAATGAGGACAAAGCTCTGTTTTGAAACCAGCTTTGTGAAAAGTGTAGATTAATGGCTTTCAAGTTTTGTAAGAGTAATCCCCAACAATATTGTGATGCCTGGTGAATATTAGCATCTGTATATAACTGATTGGAAGCATTAGCATGCATATGTAACTGATGCAAGTTTCATGTAACAGTATTTTCTATTACAAATGCAATCTAGTCTGATTCTATCAGTTTTAATTTATTTCATAAACAATGCTAGCTGCAAACTCACTAACTTGACTTTACAACTCATTAATGGATTGTTATGACCTCCAATTTAGAAAACATTGATCTTGGTCTATGTTGTTTTCATGCTGTTTCACTTAGTAGCTGATTCCCATTTTTCTCTCCACTTTTGGATATTCATCCTACGTGCTCCCTGGTCCTTTCAGTTGGTCAGACATAAATTAGT